CCCACCCACCCCTTTGCATGCATTTCCGAGTTGGTACAGTGCCACGTCAGCAGTGCCACGTCAGCAACAGTGCCATGTCAGCAACAGTGCCATGTCAGCAACAGTGCCACGTCAGTCACAGTGCCACGTCAGCAGTGCCACGTCAGCAGTGCCACGTCAGCAGTGCCACATCAGCAGTGCCACGTCAGCAACAGTGCCACGTAAGCAGYGCCACGTAAGCAACAGTGCCACAGTGCCACGTCAGCAGTGCCCTGCCACCATGATGGGCTCAGTTCTGGGCATGCCAGGCCAACTGGCAAATGAGTCCATTGCCGAGTACCGACAGCGTTTTGAAACTCAGCTCGCACTAATCGCGGCTGAGGAACAGCGCCAGCTGGCAGCCGAGGCTGTCCGCCTACAGGCTGAAGCGGCGGCAACAGCTGAGAAGCAGGGGGTTCAGGCCGAAGCAGACGCAGATACCTAGACACGCCACAAGGAAGCCCAGGATCTGATACAGCGGCATGAAGCCACTAGCATCGAAAAGCTCAAGTTTTGGCACTTTGAACCATCCGAGGAGCACGACGACGCGACACCGGAAGAGCAGCACAAGGAATTCATGGCCAAACTCGTGACCAGGTTGGTTTACACTTGTAACCACCTGCAGTCCGAGTTGGCGAACCTCCAGCGGGCCGTACGGAGCCACAAGGCTCAGCACGAGGATGCAGCACGGGCACTCAATTCCCGTGTACAGGACTTGGAGCAAACTGCACCAAGACCGGAGGCTGGCAAGTCCAGCAGTGCACCCTCTGCCCGCCAACTGGAGGAACGAGTTGATCACGTGGTCGCAATGCTCGGCGACATCAGTACCTTCGCTGCACCAGCCACCATCAGCAATCAGCTGGACACCTTGAAGACCGAGGTTCAGCAACTACAACAGCTGCCTAACAAGGATAGCAACACCGTGCAGCACTACAAGATGCCGACATTCCAAATCGAGAAGTTCGATGATTATACGCATCAAGACCCGGTCCTCTGGTGGGAGGGCTTTACAATGCAACTTCGGATTCTGTTCGTCGCCAAGCACGCGTACATCGGCGCCCTGTTCCTCAACTCAAAAGGGCGGATGCCAGATCTTGTTGAGCCACCTGGCAACTGTCCACGGCGTCGACGTTGCAGATCTGAAAGACGATCTCTTGGGAAGAGTTAACACGACTATGGAAGACGCGGTTCATCGTGGACGACGCCCCGGCGCTCGCCATCAACCACCTCTTCAGCATGATGCAAGGCAACACATCGACACATGAGTGGCTCACGGAATGGCAGAAGATCACGGCAACGCCCGATCTTGACTTGCCATTTTCGCATCTGCGGCGCAAATTCTACAACCGGTCATGTGCCGCCTTGAGCCTTGCACTTGGTGATCTCGAGCAATACGCGACCTTCGCCGAAATCATCGACAAGGCAAGGGAGATCATCAAGACCAATAGGGCAGCTGCACATGAGAAATCAGCATGGCAACCAACCTATGTGGAGAAGGTGAAAACTGGTCCGCGGCCGCAGCATGTCGCTGCAGTCCAATCGGACAACATTGTGGAAGACCCGGCAGCCACCCAAGCGTCACGTGAGGGAGATCAGGTGGCTGCTGTTCAGCCGCGAAGCAACAACAAGTCCCGAGGAAACGGGACGGTGAAAACCGCATCGCCGGCCGAAAACGGACAGCCAGCACCATGGGTCAAGTTTCACTTGACCGAGGCGGAATACAAGTGGCACGGCCGCTACGGCTGCTGCTATTGGTGCAACAGCACCAAGCACAAGACCTCCCAATGCCCGGATCAAGGCAAGGAGGATGTTCGGCCTCGTATCAACTCGGGAAACTGAGTTCCGCGGGAGGTGAGGCGACTCCGGCCGCCTTGCTAGTGGCCTCCTACGCATCTGGGGAGGATGCGAATGTCGCAAGTCCTCGGTACACTTACGAGGATTATGCTGTCCACTTGGTCCCACCGTTGGACCAACCGCTCCACGTGCAACAATCTACCGCATGCACGGATTCATCACCATCGACAACCGATTCGGCAGCTTCGCCGCCATCAATTGCCGGGGATTCAACGTCATGGTCAAGACTTGAAGAGCTCGACCCGTTGACATTTGCGGACTTCCAATGGATGCCCCTTCCTCGGTCCGGTCGATTGCCAAAGCCGCATTGCAACGTGCTCAGGGCACAATTGCGGGATTACTTGCACACTGTAGTACCAACTCCGTTGATGGACGCCGGAGTAGAGGTTGTTGACCTTCACGCCTACATTGCGAAGATCGACCGCGAGTTCAAGACACAACGGTACGACGACATCGACGCACCATTGTTATATGTACGCATTCAGATCGGAGAGGCGACCTGCAGCGCTTTGATCGATTGCGGAGCATCTCGCAACTACATGAGCCAGGACTTTATGGTACGCGTCGGCCGTGGCCCACGCGTCCGGGGGAAGGCCCAGCCTACGCAAGTCACGTTGGCAGACGGTCACACTCACAAGTCGATAGACCGGTGCATAGATGACGTCCCCCTGTACTTTGCCCCGCATGCAAGCGAGGCGGTGTCCTTCGATATATTGGACGCCAAATTCGACATGATCTTGGGCATGTCATGGCTGCGAAGCGAGGATCACCCGATGAACTTCTACCGCCGCACCGTTCACGTTCGTGATCGGAACGGAGTACTAGTCCCATGCACGGAAGCTCCTCCTCACCCTTCGATCAGCTGCCACGTGGTGTCCGCCGCAAGCATTCGAGCTTCCATCATCAGAGACGACATCGAGGAGATGGGGGTGTGCTCTCTCCATCCCCTCCCGCCCCATGACGCTTCATCGACGGACTCATCTTCGGACCCATGCATCACCAAGCTTCTCGACGCCTACGGCGACGTGTTCGAAGGCCCGCATGGAGTAGTACCGGATCGGCCCATCCGCCACGAGATCATCCTCAAGGACGGGGCCGTACCTCCGCGCGGTTGCATCTACCGAATGAGCGAGGAAGAGTTAAGTGTGCTACGGGCACAACTCGATGACCTTCTGGAGAAAGGCTGGATTCGGCATAGCTCATCGCCATACGGTGCTCCTGTTCTCTTCGTCCGGAAGAAGAACAAGGATTTGCGGTTGTGCATCGATTATCGCAAGCTCAACACGCAAACGATCAGAAACGCCGGCCCTCTTCCACGCATCGACGACCTTTCGAATGACTGGGCGGCGCCAAGTTCTTCTCCAAGCTTGATCTCAAGTCGGGATATCACCAACTCGAGATTCGGCAGGAGGACCGCGTTTAAGACGTGATATGGGCATTTCGAATAGCTGGTTATGCCATTTGGCCTTACGAATGCCCCGGCCACTTTCCAAGCGGCTATGACAACGGAGTTCCGACACATGCTGGATCGATTCGTACTTATCTACCTCGGCGACATCCTGGTGTACAGCCGGAGTTTGGACGAGCATGTGGAACACTTGCGCACCGTTTTGGAGCGGCTACGACAAGCCAAGTACAAAGCCAACCACGACAAATGCGAATTCGCGCTGCAGGAGTTGGAGTACTTGGGACATTTTTTGATGCCGCAAGGCATCTGTCCGCTTGCGGACAAGATCGAGGCCCTCCACGTATGGCCCGAGCCCACCAACACCACGGACGTTCGCTCATTCATGGGGTTGGCGGGCTACTATCAGGGATTCATCACCGGATACTCGAGGATTGCCGCACCTATGACAAGATTACAATCGCCAAAGGTGCCATTCGTATTCGATGACGATGCACGCCGGTCATTCCAAGCACTCAAGACGGCCATGCTCATGGCACCCGTCCTTAGCAACTATGACCCCACCCTGCCTACGAGAGTGACAACTGACGCTTCCGGCTATGGCATTGGGGCAGTCTTGGAACAACAAGACGGCGACGACTGGCACCCTGTGGAGTATTTCAGCCACAAAGTGCCTTCCATCAATTCGCTTGATGACGCAAGGAAGAAGGAGCTGCTCGCGTTCGTGATGGCTCTCAAGCGATGGCGACACTTCCTCCTTGGGCGTCGTAGGTTCACATGGGTCACGGACAACAACCCATTGACCTACTACAAGACGCAGGATACGGTGAGCAGCACGATCGGACGATGGATGTACTTCATCGACCAATTTGACTTCACACCGAAACATCTCCCCGGCCTCTCCAATCTCGCAGCAGATGCACTCTCGCGAAGACCTGATCTTTGCGCTATGACACATCATGCCTTCGCATTCGACGAGGAACTCCAGCAACACTTCATCCGGGGCTATGAGTCTGATCCGGACTTCGCCACGTTGTATGCGCAGCTATCTTCGAATCACCCGCCGACCAGCCACTATCGCATTGCCGACGGGTACTTGCTCCTCCACTCGAGAGGCAAGGACTTATTGTGTGTCCCACGAGACCGACGTCTTCGGACTCGCTTTCTCGGGGAGTACCATGACTCGCGACTCGTCGGCCATTTCGAAGTCAACCGCACTATTGCACGGCTTCGACAACGATTCCGATGGCCCGACCTCATTACCGATGTCACTGGGTATTGCGACTCTTGCGAAGTTTGCCGACGAAGCAAGCCCCGCAATCGCAGTCCCTACGGCGAGTTGCGCCCGATGCCTATCCCACAGGAACCCGGCCTCTCCATTGCCATGGATGTCACCGGACCCTTTCCCCGCGATCGCCTTGGGCACGGCGGCATCCTCACGGTTGTGGACCGTTTGAGTAAGTATGCGCGTTTTCTCCCTTGCAAGTACTACTCCACAACTCCCGAGCTGGCACGCCTCTTGCACACCGGTTGGATTTGCGGCCACGGTGTATCGGAAGACATAGTCAGCGACCGCGACACTCGCTTCATGTCGACATTTTGGACTGCTCTCATGCAGGAGTCCGGCACGAAGATGAAACCAAGTTGGGCTTGACATCCACAGACGGATGGGCAAACGGAGCGGGCACATCAAACCGCTCAAATGCTTTGTACGCTCATCCGTCTGGACCAGAAGATTGGGTTGACCGCCTCCCCGACATCGAGTTCGCCTACAACACTTCGGTGCACCCGGCGATCGGCGTGACTCCGTTCGAGTTGCACCACGGTGGACGGAAAGGCCGTATCTTCGCCGACCTTCTCCTCCCACGACCAACCGACATGGACGTCGCTTGCTCTCCCGCTTCCGTCCGGAAGTACAGGGAATTGCTGACTCAAGCCCGCCGCGCGAATATGCAAAAGTCTCAAGTCCGCATGCAGCAGCAAGCCAACAGGCGTCGCGTGCCATGTCCCATTCGCGCCGGTGATCTGGTTTGGGTCTCTGCGGAAGAGTTTGCATTGGAACAGGATGTTTCACGCAAACTGCTTCCCAAGCGGTTTGGACCATGGCCCGTAACATCAGTCGCGGGCGATGAGCCCGATGACCCTTTATTTGTGATCAACATCCCCCCGCATCTGATGGTCCATCCAGTCTTTCACGACTCGAAGCTGGCAACATACACACCAGCTAAGAGCGACGACTTCCTGGGCCGACGATCGCAGGACCCTCCATCTATGGATGGTCATGAGGAAGTTGACCGCGTCATCACGGATCGCAAGTACGGCAGTAAGCGTCGACAGTACAAAGTTACATTCAAAGCATGCGATCCCGACGACACTCGGTGGATTTCAGGAACAGATTTGAAAGCATCCGCACCACTGATCTACACTCACTACGAGCGACAAAGGTTAGCTCAGGGACCTTCACGACCTGCCCCTCCCACCCGGACTGTGGTCCCTCCCTAAGACAGACAGCTTCGCCCTCGCAGGTAAGCTCGGTCTTTCAAGGAGGGGGGGGAGTGGCATACTGCGTAGCCACACGGGCCTGCAGGGCCCGTCCCGCATTCTCAGCCTAAAAGCCTAGAAATGAGGGCTTAGAGGCCCCTGTCGTTTCAGCCTGAAAACTGAAAACGAGGGCCTGCAGGCCGTATTTTGTTTTCAGCCTAAAACAGGATTTTTCAGCCCTGAGGCTTTTCAGCCTGAAACGGAGGGCCACTTTCGGGCCCTCATAAGATCGACCTACCCTAACACTCAGGCACAAAGCCAGGGTTTGGGGAACAGGCTATTTCTGGCCTGTTCCCACGACAGCCTCAAGCAGCAGCTGCAGCGACAGCCCTCGACTCCCTTCGGCATTGGCAAGAGCAGCCTCCTGGACTGCCTCGCCCAGCAGTCAGGAGGCAGGCCGAGAAGTACATAGGGAGTTCCCATGCACTTCACGGGTAGGTAGTTGGACAGAAGGCAGGAGTAGTCTTCAGGATTCGGCCGCAGCACTCAGGAGGAGCGCTGCAGGAGTAGCTTAGCGCTAGCAGTAGTCTTCAGCGCTGGGCGCTAGTAGCCATAGCAGTAGTCTTCAGCGCTGGGCGCTAGTAGGTGGTACTAGTAGAGTTGGGAGAGATGGCTGGCGGAGGCCAGTGGGGCTTACCTGTGGTGCCATAGCTCCAGCTCCATCTTCGAGGTACCTGCA